TAAAAAGGCACAAGATACATTTTTTTTCTCTCTCCTGGGTTTAGTGGGAGAGACAGTTGAGTAAATCAATAGCACGATGTCTGTAATAAGGGCCTCACGGCATATATCATTTGTCCTGTGGGACAAGGAGGGAGGGCATGTAAGTTAGCCCTGAGTCAGTATGTATAAATTGTGTCATGAAAGGTGAGTGAGGGTCTGCAGAGTGAGGTAGGAGCAGTGGAGCAAGAAGAGCCTGCACATAGTGTTGAGGTAATGGCAGGTAACACCTCAGGGGGTGCAAACTCATAGCCCAAAGCAGAATGTGTCTGAGGCTGAGGATAGTCCCAGCAGGTGATGGGACTATCAGAACACAGTACCACCCTGGAGGACTCACACATATAGTTTATTTTCTCACAGTTCTAGAGGCCGGACATCCGAGATCATGATGCCAGGGTTTTGAATTCTCCTTGGCTTGTCGATGGCTGCCTTCTCACTATATCTTCACATGGCTGTCCTTTTTTTTTGTGAACATGTCTGGGGTCTCTTCCTTGTCTTCATCTAGTCGTATTGGCTAGGGCTTGCCCTAATGGCCTCATTTTAACTTAATATCTCTTTAAAGTTCCTGTCTTGAACTAAATACAGTCACCTTCTATGGTACCAGGAGTTTGTGGCTTCAACAGAGGAATTTGGGAGTGGAGACAGTCAGCCAGAAACCATGAAGAGGAGGCCCCAAGGAGGCGAGGCTAATATGGCAGCTACTCAAATCATACACAGGAAAGTGATAGAAGCCTGAGTGAATCAATGGCAATAGGGTTAGGAAAGAAGCAAAAGATTCCTGAGATTTGTAGAATTAAGACTCTGCAGGAGGAGGCAGCTAGTTGGCCAGGGGTGGAGGGACAATGGAGGAGGGAGGAGGTGAGAGGGTGGAGTCTAGGATGACTTCGAAGTTCTGGACAGAAGGAGGCTGATGCCACCTAGGAATAAGGAACACAGGAGAAGGAGCACATCTGGAAGTGGGAGGAAGATGATGATTGAGAGGTGCCGGCGGAAAATCACTGGCAAGTTTAGCTGGGAGTTGGATATATTGGTCAATCTCTGAAGAGAGGTCTGGCCTGGAGCTAGAAATTCAAGAATTGTCAGTTTATATAGATTCAGAGCCAAGGATTTAGACAGTCACTCAAGGAAAGGGAAGGTGGCTGAGGCCAGAACCAAGGGACTCAGACTCTGGCATGCCAACTGGAAGACCAGAAGAAGATAAGGACAAGGCACTGACTAAATGGAGGCCTACTATGTGTTAAATACGCTGGTAGCACTCAGTTAACTCTTACAGAAGTTCCTGAATTCAGGCAGAGAGCAAACACTTGATTAGCACTTTCTAGACACCACTTTCTAGAGTCCTCTGCAGCAGCTCATTAAATCCTCACGAAGTCCTATGGTTAATGCATGTAGTCGGGGGGGGGGGTGTTCCCTCATACAGGGTGTGTAGCCCACAGGGGTGACATGTTGCAGATCACAGAAATGGCCTTGGAACTGAAACCCAGGTGACAAGGTGAGCTCCTCACCTCGTTACTATTCTGCCTTTGGCTCTACTGTAATAATTATTTTTGATTTTTTTACTTTAAATCTTATACTTTTTATGATGGCCAGTTATCATGGGCCCCAACAGCTATCTGTAATCAATAGTCCTGACTGTTAAAAATCATGAAGTTGTGTAAATGCTCTCTTTTCCAAAAACCATGTTCATCTTCTCCCATGGAGACCCAACTGTCTGCAAAACCTTGAATGGACAGCGTAACCCGCCAAACTAACTTGGGTTCAAAACAAGTAGCCACAGAGCTGCTCCAACATGAAAAAGAGGCAGATCTCTGGAAGGATGGAACTAGCAGTCAGGTACAAATAGGCTTTTGCCGCCACTGTGCTTGACTGGGGAAAGCAGCAGGTCGCTAGGGAGTTATTTAGTTCATTATTTAGGTCTGTATCACTGCAGAGGGCTTCCAGCCTCCACAGGTGCACTGGGGCACTACAGGACACCACAGACTGCACCCCCCACCTGCATCCCTGGCCGCCCCTGCCCACCTTACCCTCCCCCCTCTCTCCTTAGCCTCCCTTCCACCCCCTTTATCTTCCCCTCCCACTCTCCTTACTCTTCCCTACCACCCCCTTAATCTCCCCCTATCCCCCGTTCTGGCCCAAGGGTCCAGGCACCCCAAATCCCTCACTGTGCTCATCTGCTCGTTTTGGCAGATGCTTTTGAATTCCATAACCAGATAAGTATGACATCAGCATTGATTCTTCTGCACCTGTCTGATGCCAAGCCAAGAGAAAAATTTCAATGACGTGACTTTGAAGGACCAAGATATTTCTGTCAGACATCTTAGAATCCAGGGGAAAGGCTAACTCTATTAAATCAATGCAAACAATGTATTTCATGACTTTTCTGTGGGAAGACGCTGACATGCAAGGCCCTAAAGCCCACTTTCTTCTTACATGTTTTTATCCAATGATAAAATTCATTTTCCCTTGGGCAGCAGGGTGACCTTTCTGCCCTCATCAGTGTTTGTGTTTGAGTGCACCGCAGGAGACTTCTTTGATGAAAATATGGATGCATTAAGTTGTAATGAACTCAGAGAGGGGTAAATGCTTCAAGTAACAGCGTCCAGGTTCCATAACCAGGTTTCTCAAGTCTTTTGCTAACACCCCATATTCAGGGATTGGAAAGGAAATGCTGTAGGTGTGATAGAGCATCTCCACGCGGTACAGGTGGTGTGACTTGTCATGAGGACTCGCAGACCTGCAAGGTCTAGGAACCACTCCCATGCCACACAGTGGTGGCCAGGCTTCCACTACACAGGTGCGCCCTGGCTTCTGGGAGCCCACATTTTAGCGCTCGGAAATTTTAAGGATCAGAGAAGTTAAGAACTGAGCTCGAGATGGCATGCTGAGTAAATGCCAGATGCAGGTTGTAAACTAAAGCCTTTGTACTTTTCACTACCCATGCAAACTTCCTCTTCATAAGCTGAGGGAAGAGAGGACCCGATGTTGTCTAGTGAAGATTACAGCAGAAAGTATCTGGTAGATTTGAACAAGTAGAGGCCACTGTCAATGTGGTCAGTGGCGTGATGGGGGTCCACATCAGGTGGTAAAGTCTTAGAGAACAAACGCAGGCAAAGCATTAAGATGATTCTTTCAGGGAGTCTGACCATGGAGGGAAGGACAGCAATGGGAAAGTAGCTAATTAGTGCTGTAAAGATGTTTAACAACTTATTATTTGGTTTCAGAGGAAGAAACCTTTTTGTCTGAATGCAAATGGACATTCTGTGAATGGGGTTGGTCATAGTGGGAAGGTGATTTTCAGTTGGCTGTGAGTATGGTGAATTTGAAACAGGGTTTCTGATTCAGAATAAATTTGAACTTCCCAAGTTGAGAAACTGATCCTGCTGATTATGAAGTCACAGAAACATAGTCACTCCAGGAGAGGCACATGGGTTGACATGAGCTTCATCTTGCCTGTGTGAACATAGGCACAGACTCAATAATGAGTGATTGCTTTGCTATAAACAACTCTAAATTTGAATGGTAACACCATAGCCAACTGTTAGATTCACTGGTGGTGAAGAAATACAGATGCACAATTATGTGGTATCTTAGCCTTGGTACCAAGGATTTAAAGCCATGCTAATTCAATGCTGAGGAGATGAGAGTTTGGTGGGATTCTTTAGAAACCAGTGGTATTTCAAATTCAGAGGGTTAGAATAAGATCACAGTGTAAAGATGTTCAGTTAAGTATTGTTTATAATGCATGAAAAAATGGAAACAATTTAAGAGGCCAAGAATAAAGAAATTTCTACATAAATAATAGTGCATCCACTCGATGGAAAATAATATAGTGACTGAAAATACTATTTACGCAGACTATTTTGAAACATGATACACATTTAGTGTAAACGAGAAAAGCAGAATGAAAATTCAACAATATGAACACAACTGTGTAAACAAAACAACAACATAAAAAAGATTGAAAATATATTCACTAGCAGTGATTATGTTTGCCTGATTGGTGCTTTGATAATGAAAAGAAACTAAACACGAAAAGATCTCTATAGCTCTCCACTGATTAGCAAAGGCCGACATTACAGTGAATGCTATTTTTTGTGCACTTTTTTATGTCTTTCTCTGACATTTTGGTTATGCATAAATTATCCAAAAGGAAGGCAGGTGTTCTACTAAAATGCATCAAATGAAACCGCCAGATGACATCCCAGGGATGCATTTTTAAAACGTTATTATGCTTGACATCATTTCTCTATACAAAACAATATATACACACTTGAAAAATGCAGAAAAATGTAAGATCAGAAAACTAGGGAAGCAAAGAAAAATCTCACTTCATCCTTTTATTTAGATAATGCTGGTATTTTGCTGCAAAGGAAACAGACTTTTTAAAACTGAAGTAACATTGCTATGACATTGCATAAGTTTCATGTGGGCAACACTGAAAATCAGCATGTGTATGAACTTCAGTCAGTTCACCACTGAAAGTCCAAATCTATCCTTCACCACACAAGTGTCTCCTTTGTCCTGATTTCTCCCCCTCTCTCCCTTCTACCATTCTGGTAATTACCAATTGGTCCTATACTGGCGCTAGTTTGGGGCTTGGCACAAGGGCGCAGATCGATCCTGTCCAACACTGCCCCGACGGCCGCAGGGGTAGAGAATGGGCGAGGGATGCGTTCTCCCCTCCACTCTATACACAGAACTGACGTGTCTTGGGCATGAATGGGTACCCTGCGCCCTCGCCGCCTACCAGGGACCAGATCTGGAGTCCCAAGGCGGACTCCCCACCCTCGCGCCGGCAGTCTCCGCCAGGGAGAGGCGGGCCCTGTCCGGGTGTGGAGTAGCGGACCCAAGGGGGGGGGGGGATGAGTAACCCTTGGCTGCTAGCATGCGCAACCCTGCTGGGGCCGGCCAAATTCTGAGACGATGATAATTCGGCCTCGAGCGTCCGGGGTCGTGCCCGCCAACCGGGCGGGGCGCGGCGGACGCACCGAAGGCGAATAAAAGGGCCGCTCTGCGCGGGGGCCGCTTTTTCCGCGCCTGGCCTGCAGCGCTCCTCGCGAGTGGGCAGCCGGGCGGGGAGGCACCGAGCGGTCACCGCGCTGCGGAGCACCCGACACCCGGGGCGGAGGGCGGATCGCTCTGGGCGCGCGGCGCCTTCCGGTGCCCAGCGGGGTCGGTGTCAAAAGGGCCGAGGACCGGGCCATGGCGGGGGCGGAGTGTGTGCCCCCGGCCAGGCCGAGCCTGACCTCCATCTCGTCGGGGGAGCTGCGCAGCCTGTGGACATGTGACTGTGAGCTGGCCCTGCTGCCCCTGGCGCAGCTGCTACGCCTGCAGCCAGGAGCCTTCCAACTACGTGGGGACCAGCTCGTGGTGCCCGGCCCGGGCGAGCCGGGAGTGGCGCGCGGGGGCTTCAACGTCTTTGGCGATGGCCTCGTGCGCCTGGACGGGCTGTCCTACCGCCTCAGCAGCTACATCAAGAGGTGGGTGGCCTCGCCAGTGCTTCCCAGGCCCTGCCTGTCCTCACCGAGTCCTCCACCCTGCTGCTGCTCCCTGGAGCCCTGACTGGCTTGACTATGCTCAACTCTGCCTCAGACAACCTCCGCCTTTCCTCCCCCATCTTCCTGCTGTTTCTAGATATTTCTCATTGCTAAGGTCAGCCGGGGCTGCAAACCTCTCCCCGCCCTCACTTTTTCTGCCTTTTGCACTGACGTTTTGCAGCTGGCCACTCGAAGCCGCCCAGGAGAGCATCAGGGCAGCCTAATCGGGGAGGTAGGGTGGATAGCACATAGCTGGCTGATGAGTTTCCCTTTCTGGCTCCATTGGTCAGATGAGCTCAAATTGGGGACACACCCTGCAGGAAATGTTTACAGAGAGAAGAGACTTACACCATGGCCTTAGGTTTTGGGGAGGAGAAGTAGGAGAGGGTGCTCAATGCTGTGCACTGCTTTTAATTAGCAAGGCACCCCAACAAACAAAACATGCAAATGTTCAAAGTTTCCTCTTTTGGTCTCCCTTGGTACTTGTTTGTTTTAAAGAGATGGATAAAGTGTGGCTGTGAAGGCAGCGAAGTCAACTAAGCCCAGCCCAGAGTCTACTCTATGGGCTATCTTGCATGCAGATTTACCTTCTAGGAAAGGTAAGGACAGTTTCCTAGATGGTGGCTGCACAACCAAATTTGATGGAGGAACCTCAGTTAGCCATTTTAGCTCAAGTATCTGAAGATTTTTTTTTTTTTTAAGCAGGCTCAATGTCTGCAGGTTATGTTGACTATTTGAAACTGGCTTTGATCATTCCAGTGTAAAGCAAGAGGGCATTTCACACTTGACTTTACATGCTTGGTGCCTCCAGAGGTCACTCTGTGCATGGATGAGTCTTATATTTGTGCTGCACAGCTGAGTTCCCAGAAGTGAGCAAGTACAATTCCGAGTCTGATTCAGAGATGAGCAAGCCCACCAACCCGTAAGTGTGTGCTATTGGAGGAGAGAAGCATAGTGACACCCTGTGGACGGGATGGGCCAGGAGGGGCAGATAAACAAAATGAGATGCTTAAAAAACCCTTTTCAGGTTGCCAGTAAACCCCCCTCCCCAAAGTAAGGGAGTGAGGGCTTTGAAAAAGCATTCCACAACAAGAATTTCTCCCTTGCTTACTGAATTGAACATTTGAACCCATTAACAGGGAGCTATTGAGTTAGAAATCATATCTGCAAAGATTTAAAATGAAGATAACCACTGCATTTGAGGACAGAGTATAACAAGATAAGAAGATCTAGAATTAATGGAAGTTACAGGTTGGATTTTTAGCAGAGTCAATTTCCCCAATCTTGGCAAACAATGCTGCAAATTTAAAGAGATTTTGAAGTCTGGTGTTAAACTCTTGCTTTGAACACACTCTACACAAAAGGGTTTTTAACAGTACTGGTCCTCTGGCAGTTTAGAGCCCAGAATAAACAGTGACGAGGTGAGACAGAGTGCAAAAAGGAATTAACAAACAAGAGGTTCTTAGTGTCTAAGCAATTGTGTGAGGGCTTTTTTACACTGGGAAAAGGCAAGAAACATCAAAGAATAATTTGAGTGATGGAAGGAATGATCTAAATTCCTCTCAGAGGATGTACTATGGCAGGGGAAGTGGACTTTTATAACTGGGTATGCGAACCTGAGGATGACCGGCAGGAGTCTGGTCTGAATGGGCAAAGTCATCTAGAAAGAACCAGAACAATGGACTATAGGCAAGAGTCACAGGTTTTGCCCTCCTGGATCAGGAGGTGGGTGGCCAATCAGGATTCTGACATCTGAAGTTGCTGCACCATAGATAAGCCAGATTTACTCAGCTGTCCTTTGCTTGGGGGTAACATTCAACTTCCTCTCTTCAAACATTGCTCTAAGGCCGGTATTAACTTTCTTATTCTCTCTAACTCTCAATTCCTCCCTCTTCCTTCCTTCCTTCTTTCTTTCTTAAATTACCTCTGGCCAGTTTTACTAAGGAAAAACCTAGAATGATTTACTTTTTATCAATCTTTTCTGGCACACTTTAAGGATCACAGACTCACTTAGATCAGTGACAACCAGGGTGTATACTACAACACTCAGTTCAATGTATTTCCTCTGAAGTGCTGGACACCAGTTTCAGCCATCATGGCCTACTTCAGATTTCCTCCAGGTCAAGTGGTCATTGGTGAAGATGAGTTTGTCTTTGCCTTGCTATCATCTCCACAGTCGGCCTGTACCCTGGCACACATTTCTCACTTTTCATAAGGGGGTGGAGCTTAGAATTGATGGATCCTGGGCTTTTTTTTCTTCTGTGCCACCACCATATACCCGCCTTGTGTGTGGGAGGGCCAAACAAGAGCAGCTGCTCACATGGCAGGGGAGGGGAGAAGGGCAAAGGATGACTTTTAACTTTGGGCCCCAGAATGTAGATAAATACCCAGATTCATGTGTCATTCAGGGAGTTTAGGAGATGCTCAGATCCAGTTTCAGAATCCTGGCTCTATTCACTTTTATTTTTTTTTCTGTTTGTTTGTGTTTTATTCAACAAATATTTTTGGCCTGGGATTAAGCCCACTGCAGAAGCATGATTTCTTTTTTCAGCCTCAGAAGTGGTGCTATGGTTTTCATAAGGGCCTTTGTCAAAGAACCCCAAAAGACTAAGAGCTACTAATTCTGACTGCTACAAATCACTTGCTCAGAGAGCCAGAGGTGACTCGGTGACTCAAATTATTCCAGTTTGTTGTCTTTACTTGAATATTTTCCTAAATACATACGTACCTTCTAGATAAGCCTGAGGAACTCTTGGGTAGTAGGTAAGTAGTGATGACGATGATCACCAAGGACTTTAAAGCACCTTCAAGGACCTGCTTTAACAATTTTCCTATTTAGGGGAATTTATGTCAAGATTCTTACTGTTTTCTTGTTTCTTCCAAGCTTCAAATTTCCATTTTGTTATGAAACCTGTTGAGAATATCAGGTGTAAATCAATACAACTCCCTCTCCCTCTCTCTTTTTCACTCTTACACACACACCTTTTTCCTTACAATTTATCCTACCAATGAGATGTAATATGAATGTTTGTCAAAGGGGAACTCTGATTCCTTCATTTCAATGGTCCCCTAGTAAGAAAAGCTTCTCAAGTAATAAAGTAAGCACAGCAATGATAATGGTGGTGACTGATATTTCCTTGAGTGCTAGGAATAGAGCAAAATATTTCAGAGCTATTACAGCAAGAGATCTCACAAAAACAGGACTTCTCTTTACAGATGAGGAAATCAGGGCCAAGAAAGATTAAGTCACTCCCCTGAGTAAGATGCCGGTGAGCAGTAGTGTCACGGCTTTTAGGTAGTACCACCCAGGCACAAGCTGTGCTTCAGCAAACTCCTAGAATATGGAAATAATTCTGGTTTGCTATAGATCACAGCAGATTTCTTAGAAATGTCTCGACCTGCAAACAAAAAGCTGGAATTATATGTGCTTCTTAAACTGTTGGTCTAAAAAGTAAATTGAGATTTTAAACATGGAGATGTGACTTGCTCCTGCCCAGGTCTGCCCAGCTGTTTAGTGATGACAGTCCCACCCGCCTGGGGCAGGCGTGGAGGGTGGGGAGAGGAAGGAGATGGGGTACAGTGGGAGTTGATTCAGCACTGGAACACACTTAGGTTTTTTTTTTATTTTATTTTTTTATTTTTTTAAATATTTATTTATTTGTGCATACAGAACTCGGGTACAGGCCAGAGACTTAGGGGTGGCAAGAGGCTTCACCAGAGACAGAGTGGGGAGCAGAACAGGCAGATCGATGAAGTATACTGCTGAAGGGAGCAGCAGGCAGGTCAGGAGAGGTCTGCCACACCATGTGGTCACCTCCGGGGCAGGCGGGAATCGAACTCATGCGGAAGTGGCTTTAGCTTCTTAGTGCTGTGCTTTAACCCGCTACGCCACCAGGGAGGGCCCCACACTTAGGTTTTTACGGGAGTTGTGGGGAAGTGGGAGGGGAGGGGATGTGTTCAGGCTCTGTGACCCACCCCCCCAATACCCAGGGCTACCTTTCAGGCCATCCTGCCATGAGAGGGAGGTTCGGGAGCTGTTGTACCCCTGCAGTGTCACACTGTGGTCCTGTCCTCTTAACAGGTCTCTTGTCTTGATCACCATGTCTGAGTCTTGGATTTGGTGAGCTGCCTTGGACAGCAGCCCCTTAAAAAGATGCATAATGATACTGATGAAGTTATTGTTTATGTGTTGGGCTGTGATTTTTATGAACTTTAATCTAGAGTAAACGTGGGGGCAGCATGAGAACTAGGACTGCACTGCTTTGTTTGGATTCTAGCTCTGCTGCTTGAAGTTGAGTGATTTGGGAAAGGTTTGTCATCTCTGTGACTCAGTCTCCTCACTACAAAATGAAAATAATAACTTACAGGGTTGCTGTTCGGAGGTAAAATTTTTAAGACTGGTAAGACAGTTATTGACACATCTGATCACTTGACAGTTTGCAGTTTTATGAAGCAACCCCAGAAGCCAAGCACATCCACATGTTATTTAATCATTTCATCACTTCACAGGGTACCTGCTGTTACCAGATTTTCTCAGTGAGGAAGTGAGTCTCAACAGGGTTTGAACCTGGTTGGGGCCAGAGACAGAAATCGAACCCAGACCGATGGTTCAGAAGCCAAAAGCCACTCATCTCTTCCTTCTGGACTGCCACCCACTCCTTGCTCTACCTCCCACTCTCAGTTCACCTGTCCTGTGTCCCCACACCCCTCAAGGTTCAGTCAAACCATGACTCCTCCTGAGATGCCCATCTCCCCTAATTGTGCCCAACCATGTACTTCACTGGAAAGAAAGTCCCTCTTCCAGCACCTGTCTCAGATTAATCAGTGGCTCTAACTCCAGGGCCTCCCACTTTGCTCCTTCTTAAATAACTCGGACACAACCTTCCTCGAGTTGGACAAATGAATGACAAGAACTATGCTCTCTTCTGGCATTTATGACTTGAATGATTAATTTGTTTGTAAACCTTCAAATGAGAGAGACCATGTCTTAGGCTTCTCAGACTTAAAATAAGCTTGAAGGTCTCTTGAGGAGCTCGTTAATATGCATATTTTAGAAGACTGAAACCAGAGAGGGGGCTGAGCATCTGCAGGTGATGGCAGGTGTTCCAAGATCACTTTTATTAAGCAAACTATTATCTATTTCATATCAAAGACATGCATTTTCTTTGTCTCCCTAACAGACTATGTTTCTTAAAGCAAGTCTATTTACAAAGCAGCTTCCTGGTAAATGCTTATTGAGTGAATGAGTGTATGAGTCATTCTCCGCCTCATCATGGTGTTTCACTCACACTGGGCATCCATACTTGATGAATGAATGAACGTATGTGTTCTTGAATGGAATCACAAACATTAGAGCGAAACATCTGAAAAGTTTGCTTACTGTCACTAGAGTTAGGGCAGAAGAAGGAAAGGTAGAGAAAGAAGGAACTGTTCAAGAAGTTAGGATGAGGCTCTGCTTGAAGATATCAAGGTAGCCCTGGGAAACAGCAGGGCTTCCTGCCTGCTCTCTGGGACAGAATGTCCCAGCTTGCATTTGCTTAGTGTCACAGCAAAGGGTGATAAAAGCAAGAAGCAACTTCTGGTTTTTCTACACAACTATTCCAATATGTGTGTCTCTTTTTCTCTGCCCCATTAAAAAAAAAAAAAAATGAGCGTGTGCACACACACAGAGCCTCAGGGAGAAGCCATCAGCTTGAATTTGTCTTTGAGCAGCAAATGGCCAGAGCCAAGACCAATTAAAGGCAGCTTTGCAGGTCATGCTAGAGATAATATGAAACCTGAATGTACCTGTGGAGAAAGGCAAGCCTCTTCGAGGGTGGGGGATCTTTTAGCCACTCCTAGCATTCTAAAAGCAAAATCAGTGACTTCACTAAGCTGTTCCCTATAATCTTCAAGCTGAAAAGATTAAGAAAGCAACCAGAACAAGAAGGGACACTTTTGCCCTATTATTTTTTAGATATTCATTTTGTACTCATAGTCTGATAATTCAGTGGGCATGAGCCTGTCGTGTGCCTAGAGTTTACAGAACGACAGCTTGTGGCCAGCAGAGTTGGTTGGGATTAAAGATACTAACAGTGTTTGTCAGGCATTTACTCTGGACCCAAGTGCTTATGTCTGCATTACATGCACTGCGTTGGACCATCAAGCAGAAGGTAATACTGTTATATCCCTTTCAGATGAAGAGACAGGTTCAGGCGACTTAAGTAACTCACTCAAGGTCACAGTGAGTTGCTGCTCTGGAACTGAATGCACATAACCAGTCAATTAGGACGTGAAGTGGATCATCTCATTTCCAATCATTATACTTTCCACCACGTGTTCTGCCTTTCAATCTTTGGATTGAATCAGATATAGAAAAATCTCAGTCTACAAACATTTGGGAGCCAGGGTAAAAGGAATGAAGAAATGAAAATTTGAAAGACTATCTTTTAACTGTTTGCTTTTCATCCCTAATGATAACTTAGCAAATGTAATAAATATCCACACACAGAAGCAATATTTGCTTTAGTATTTCAGAAATATACTTGATTAAAGATAAAATAACTAGTCCCTGATGTAGCTTAGTTACACCTCTTCTTAAAACAAAACTAATAATTGACTGTCAGATACTGAAATATCTGTGAGACTTAATAACTTCAATCCTTTTGTACTTTAGTGAACTACATATCTAAGTTTTCTAACAGTGAATTTCAAAGGAATGTTCACATTTATTTCTGTCATTAACATTTTTGAGATATTTTCACTGGAAACAATTGAATTATAATTGGGAGGCTAGGAATGGAAGAATTAGGAAGTGTTTTTTTATTTGTGACCTGGTTTAAATAGTGAATTTAACTGATCAGGGATCTTGCCACCATCTCTTATCTGTAATTTCTGTATCAGAATTTTCATATAGCTACATTTTTACATGTCTGTGATATAGTGTTAATTGATGTGTGCTGTGACAATGTTTGTGACCCCACTAAGATCCTCAGAGTGCCTCTAAGTCATCAAAAGAAAACTAAATTAGGTTCCATACTTTTATTATTTGGGGTATTTTATTAAATTCAGACTCCAAAATGGTTGATACATGTATAAGCTATACGTTACACTCAACATAGTACTATCCAGAAGCACCCCTACCCCAGCCCCCATTCTCTGATTACACCAAGTAACAGCTCTTTGAACCCCACCATAATCAAACCAACATTCTATGGAATTCTGAGGGAAAAGCAATTAACTTCCCAACCAGTGATAAACTGTATTAAAAAAAAAAAAAAATCCCTTCCCTATGAGCTGCTGGCTCATTGGAACAAAATCAGTGTTGCCTCCAATCAGATTGTCAACTGATTCTGTAAGCAGAGCGAAGTACTGCACTGCCATTTCTGCTATCAGAAAGGTAATCAAAGCTTCGAATTTTCTGGATGCTCTATACAAATTCTTGTGTGTGCCCTGGACAATGACTGGTAAGCCATGGGTTTTGAGAACAGAAATAGCGTACGGAGGAAGATAGAAAATGCTTACATGACAATAAATCAGCTACATGAAGAACACAGTGGGACGATATGAAAATCCACCTTGGATGCTCAAAGGTGGGTGAGTCTCAGTGTTACACATTATTTTTTCATGTTTACTTCAGTCAGACTTGATTTTCTTCTTCTGTTGAAGCAAGAGTTTTCTTCCCGTTTTTCTCCCCCTGCATCTCCTCACCCATCCACCTTGCAAACATCAACCTCACCGGTCTCTCCTCATCTTCTTCCCGAGCATCTCTGGCCTGCCCCAGCAAGGTCCTGATACACCAGGAGAACCGAGGGCACAGGCCTTCCCCTGTCCTGCCTCCGTTTGCCCCACTCTCACTTCCTAGGACCTGGGCTCCTTGGGTGTAATCAGATACATGTGGATGCCCACCTGGTGCGCATTCAGTGCGTGATTAATGCTGCTTAGTGAAAGAAGGAATGAATGAGAACACATACCCTAGCACGTGGTGGTCCCCTTTCTCTTTTCTTCTCCTTTGCTTCCTTTCTTTAGCACCTTTAAGCAGTTGGTCACCTGGGACAAAAAAGAACAGAAAGTTTCTCTCTGCTGATATGAAACACAATTGTTTCTCTACTGTCGATGGCCCCACCTCACCCCATTCTCACTGCACACTGTGCTGACAGGTGAGGGGAGGGTGCAGAGGTACAAAGATTCTATCTATAGTATCTGGCCCAGTCCATTCCCCTGTTACTCAGCAGGGTTCCCCGCCCCTCTCCATTCCCCTTCTCCCCTCTATTTCTGCATTCTTCACCTGCACCCCTGAACATCAACCACTGCATCCCCCTTCTCTTCCTCAGAATGAGACAGCCCACTGTCCTCCCCACCCCCACCCCAAGACCAGCCCCCTAAACACCACCAATGCCCATGGGTTGAGACATCATGTAAAATGTCTGGTGAGACAGAAAGCAGGGGGAATTTTAGAGGCCTCTTCAGGGGTCAAGTTTTAAAAGCTTTCCAAATCAGTTCTAACAAGCCCAGAAAAAAAGATAATGACACAGATTTTAAGAAACCAAGCTGGGTGACAGACAAGCTGAAGCTGTGTTTTTCTGATTTGGGGGTAGCTCTTCTCCTGTGTGCTCTTGACTTATGCTTGGGTCACTGTGTCGCATGCTGGCCTCTCTAAATGGGTTATGAAAGTAGGTTGGAGGGGGCGGGGGGGGGTGCTGAGAGAACTGTGTGACCACTGTTCCCTGCAGCATGCTCACCAAGGCTGTGATTTTCATGTCAGGCACTGGAAAGACAACAAAACAGAAAAAAATGCTGGAGCTATCTCTTCTCACGTCTAGACGTAAGAAGCCAACACACTACAGTGTAATAAATGCAGCAAGTGCTGTCGACAAGGCTCATTCACTCCATGCAGAGATGTTGGGCCTCCCAAGGGGAAATCAGCCCTGAGGTGAAGAGGGACAGTGGCAGATGCATTGCCAACCTGCTGGATGCCATTCAAAGGGTGTCCAGGTGGCGTCAGGAACATTGACTAGAAATTTGGCCATCTTCTTGAAGCAAGTTCATTTGAGCATGGATCTGTCCTCTAGCAGCAATATGGGTACAGACAAGAGCCTTGGAAAATGTGTACAGTAGGGAGAGATATGACATACAGAATGACAGTCACCAAGCAGAGAGGATCTTTCCAGATGGGAATAATAAGTCAAACCCAAGGAGGACCGTGGGCAAAAGTCCAACATTAATTATTTTGGGTTTTGTTTTTTTAATGACACAAACTCAAGTTGTAGGCAGAGCTAAGTTTGTCTTGAGGTTAGAGAAAGAAGGGAGGAGAAGGAAAGGAAAATTTCAGAACCACCAGTTAAACTGCCCTAGAGAAGACCTAGCTAATTCCACTTACTGAGTGTCATTTACTCTCAATCTAGAAAACTAGAGCTCTTACAGCTGCAAATGAATGCTTCCAGCCCCAAAGATAAATGGCGGTGGTCATTCTATGAAAAAAGGCTGCCCCTGAGAGACAAGCATTAGTGCCAGGTACCCTAAAGGCCATACCCATTTTCTGGTTGCACACTGATATCACCACATGCTACAGAGAGATTTATGTGTATGGAACAAATATGGCTGCTTCTGGCAGGACACATTTTGGGGAGCTACCCTCAAAAGATCTGTCTGCTACGTCCCCTCCATGAGTATATTGAAATTCCCTCTGCTTTCTTCATAGATATGTGGAACTAACCAACTACTGCGATTATAAAGACTACAGAGAGACAATATTGAGCAAACCAATGCTGTTCTTTATTAATGTACTGACCAAAACTGACACTTCAAAAGGTAGGTAGAGAAATATGTTTGGTTTGAGGCTGCTTTGCTGGCTTGTGTTCTGTGGCATGTTGATGAGGTGCAAAAGAGTGGATGTCAGCTTGGGACAAGGCTGGGAATGAGAAGCCTGGTGTTAGCCATCTGAAGCACAGCACAACCTTGAACAAACCTTGAAATGAGCGTAGGGCAAGCTATCTGTCTCAGTTTCTTTTGTACTTCCTCTCTAGACAGGAAGTGATTCAATGTTCTCTGCCTGTGGTGGTTACAAAAATGACTTGACTGTTGAAGGTGATGTTTACAAATATCTACTGTGTATCAAATGCTATCAAACTATGGAAGGCATAGACTAATGTCATTAATTGTCACAGTGGCCCTATAGAAGTTACTGTTCAAACAGAAGCACATTTGAGTTAAAAGTAGGTCTGTGAGTAAGTATACAAAGATATAAATTGGAACTGGCTAGAAAAACTAGAATTCAAACTCACCCTTCCTAGGAAACCTTCACTATCCCCATGGTGTAAGTGAAGAAGCAAAGGTAAAGAAAATTACAGCAGTTGTAAATGCTTTTATGTTGCATTTTCTAGTGTTCAAATTTCAGTTTTAAACATCTTTATTATTTCTTCCAATAAATGAAACTAACTCATAACAAATATATTACTCAAAATTCCAATGTGAAAACATCTATTTCCTTTCTTCCTCCTGCCCAGATTGATATGGAGGGAAAGTTATGGGCATAATGTTCTGTGCTAGGAGTAGAATTTCTTAAACTTACTTCTAAATAACATTCTTATAATCAGTCCAAGATAATAAAAAAGATCTGCAAATTCCAAATAGACTTCCAGAAATATCTCTTCTCATTCAAATTCCCTATTCATTTCATTCCAAGGCATTCTGATTCTCTGCGTAGTTCCTAAGGCAAAATCTCGCTGCTTTCTCAGCAGGATGAGTCAGGACAGATGCAAGGTAACAAGCAATGCTCCTTAGAGCAACTGAATCACTGATTTTATTTGACTTGATGATGACCAGAAAGGCAGAGAGCTCTTTAGGAATGTAATTCACAAACGTGTCAAGTACATCTCCTGCCTTAATCTCTCAGGAGGAATTTTAAGAAAGAATAAGAGACCTCTCCATTTTCATGAAAGTGCAGGGAATGGCACAGGAGGATGATTTCAGGTGGCCTACAAAGGTACACAGCTGTATGACAACAATTGTGGGAGCAGGTGCAGAAACCCAGCATTGGTTAGTGTGAGAAAAGTCATGAAATGAAGAGATTCTGTAATAACAGAAGCTCAAGATGGTCAAGTTTAAATTAGGAAAATTGTGGTTAAGACAACTATCCAATCTTGCTGTACTCCTAAAGTGTACTTTAGTGCAAATTGGAAAAAGACCACTATTAGCTCAGCACCATTTGCTAATTCTCCCTAGAAATTAGTTTGTCAAAATAAATATGCAAATAGACAATGCCTGTGAGTATGAACGCCATCCTCCTGTGCAGTACACAACCTGCCCAACCAGCACAACTGTGGGGTATGGTGATGCTGGATGTCTAATGAATGGCTTAGTTTGTGTGGACATTGATTAAATTAATGTAGTTACTCAAATTACTTGCTTGCATACTTCTGTTCCAGGGCAACCCAATGTGAACTGGGTTGCCTGTCTGTGAGTCCTCATCTGTGCACTTAAAATTCAACTGCACTGCAGACACACAGAGAAAGGTCAATAATGGGTTTATTTACAAGGGGAAAAGAAAAGGAGCAACCCAGGGAAAGAGAGAGATACAAGTTAACTAATGCATCCTACCATTTCCACTGACCTGGAACCCCAATAGCACACTGAAAGCTGATCAAGAGCCAAACGACCAGCCACCAGCATGAGGCCAAGGGAAAGAAAAAGAGCCTCAGTCCAACATGTCCACCTTTTAGCCAAAATGTCAAAATGGCTGCTTAACTCTGCTTTTGGGCCCTAGCAGTCTTCCCTTTGATGTTGGGAGTTGTAGTTTTGGTGTCTGGAGTGGGGGTGGAGTCCACAAAACCTGTTTATCTGTAGAGTTCATTCAGGACATCCTTTCTTCCAACACTTGCTTCGTTTGTTTGTTTATTTATTTATTATCTTAGAGAAAATATAAAGTAGTTTATATCTAAAGTTCCCTCCCAAGAAAAGGGTAGGGGGGTAGAAAATAAAATAAGGAGGAAAAATATGGTGATGTGAGTGCCCAGGTTGATTGAAATGTATTTTTCAAAGCTGTAACATTTGTCATAGTGGAGCAGAGTTTTGGCTTTCAAAGCTAATACAAAATGTTCAGTACTCCAAACTCACAATGGTTTTGTAGGATGGCTATCAGTGTCCTGGATCTCCCTGAGCAAAATACTTGAGTAATTAAGGCTGTGAGTTGGGTTCTGGGTCTTAGAAATATGAAGAAGTTATTGGTTAATAATATTTCAAATTTCCTAATGACTAAGCAGCTTTCCTTTACTTGAATTATATAGAATTCAACAGAATTGGATTTAAGGGGTTAGCACACACACATACACACAAAACAAAAAACCCAGAACAACTACAGAAATACAATAGCATTTAAACAAAGAGCAGGAATTCTCTTCCCACAGAGGGATGTGTGGGGGGTAGGGCAGGGAGACCAATCTCAGCTCGCCTGATGCCTTAGACACCTGGACTTGTTCTCCTGCCAAATGAATGCCAGGTCTATAGCAATCATGGGGAGAGAGGAGAGGGAGTGGGACAGGCGCCTTCCCAGGACCTTCCTGATTTTCTGCTTTGCAGAAGCCAAGTGCTTTTTAAATACCCAGGAAGGTGGTGTGTTGAAACCAGCCATCTGAGTTTTCTCTCTAGCTCTCTGTGCTGGATGCAAGTGGTGAAGGCTCAGGTCTCATCTGTGATAATTATAGAATGGAATTTTTGATTTCTGAGACACAAGTGACAAACTGCAGCTGGGGAGAGCTGATTCTCTAACCTGATTTTACAATATCCTATAACTTCCTTCAAGTGTGTGAAATACTCTGCAACATTTCTAGAAATCTAGTTAGGCTCTGTGGTAAGGGTCTGAGAAAGCAGCAAGGGAGATTATAAATGAGTGAAATCTCCACAGAAGGTGGGAATCACGGCTTTATCAAGCACTAACAAGCAGGTTTATGTCATATATGCCCACTTTTTGAATTGTGTCCTCATTTCTAGAAAGAACATATGCATTTCTTGTGAACACAAGACACCCCAAGATAAGAAGACAGATAGAGCAGGGGATGGACATGGTCATTTCCTCAGTGATTGGAGAAAGCTACCGGCTCCAGGTAAGCTGTGTTCTGTCTGAACCCAGAGTGCGAACACACCATAGTGGTTTCTTGCCCGCACTGAGTCCCTAGAACTTCACTATAACTTAACTGCATCCAGACACCATAAGCTCCCCATTGCTTCATCATTTTTATTAATAAAATGAGCTTAGCTGCAGGCCTCCCTGGTGGCGCAGTGGGTTAAAGCACAGCATTGAGAAGCCAAAGCTACTTCAGCATGAGTTCGATCCCTGTCCCGGAGGTTACCCACATGGCGCAGCAGACCTCTCCTGACCTGCCCGCTGCTCCCCTCAGCAGTGTACTTCATCAGTCAGCCTGTTCTGCTCCCCACTCTGTCTCTGGTGAATCCTCTCACTACCCCTGCACCTCTGGCCTTTACCCCAGTTCTGCATGCATAAATAAATAAATCTTCAAAAAAAAATGAGCTTAGCTGCTAACACTAGAAATCACTTATTAGAAATGTGGTAAATTTAACTTTGAGCCAGCCTTTGAAGGTCTTTCTAAGGAATATGATGCCATTATAAAGACTTGTTTTAAAAAAGTAATAAAGGCAATAGCTTTAAACTGTATCAGGGTGAAAGAGGAGTAAGAGGCATGGTATTTTGGATATTTGGGAAGGTAATTCTATTGTAATACATATTACATTCTCTAATATAATTATATTCTCTAATAAAAGCTATAGTTAATTCATGAAATTAATTAAATGCTTCTTTCTCTTTTAGTTTGATTTTCAAGATGTAGTCAAGGATTTTTTCCCTCCAGGAAATGAGGTGGTTAATGGAGAAAATTTGAGCTTTGCATATGAGTTCAAAGCTGATGCATTATTTGATTTCTTCTATTGGTTTGGGCTCAGCAATTCCACCGTTAAGGTGAATGGGAAAGTTTTGAATTTATCGAGTACAAGACCAGAAAAGAAGGAAACAATTAAATTATTTCTGGAAAAAATGAGCGAACCTTTAATCCGAAGGAGCAGTTTCTCTGACCGAAAATTCAGTGTAACTTCCAGAGGTAAGTTAAAAATCCTCAAGACCTGGGGACAGTAGCTCCATAACAAGTAGAAGAATGCATGGGAGAGGAGAGATGATTAATGGAAACATCAAGGCCCCTAGTAGGAGGGAAATATATCACATAATTCAGGAGTGAGAAATGTTGACTACCAAAAAGAAAGGTGGGCACTTTTCCTATCAGCTGTCTTATTAGAGTTTCCTGATAGAGTAGTTTTATTGTGTAGCACACTGGGGTAATAATTTTTAAAATGTATTCACTTAAATACATACCACTTTAATATTACATACATACCACTTTAATATTAAATTAAATACATACCACTTTAATATTATTAACAATAACTTAAATATTATGAGACTTTCATGATGTGTATATTTGGGAGAACAGAATGTTATTTTAAAAGTCCATTTCAGAGAGGAGACTTGACGGTCAACATCTTTAAAAATATTTGGAAGAGTTCTTTAGAGTTTGCAAGAACACAGAAGGATAACCATGGAGAATGCTTTACTTAACAAACTATGAATTATAGATGGGGGATCTGGATTTTAATACCCAGTGCCTCCTCCCCAGGAGCTGGCCAGACTTCTGTCTGGTGTGGCTGAGGCAGGTCCTGCTGGTCTGGAAAGCAGCTTCCTGGAAGCAGGACTTCTGCTGGTGTTTGCAAAAAAAAAAAAAAAAGAAAGAAAGAAAGAAAGAACCATAAAAACAAAAAAGAAAAACTGTAGAAAGCACCAGCACCATGCTGTATGAACCTGCTGTTTTCAAAAAGTTCAGATATCACATAATCTTGTGTTTATTGATTGTATTTAATATAGTTTATTTCTTCCAGTTTATTTCTATAACAAGAATGCTTATGCCTAGTTATTTCTTTTGCCAAAAGTGGTAGCATTCTCTTTCATCTCACCCTGCCTTTTATCTCCCCGTTTTCCTTCATCCCTCTCTCCCACACCAGTCTATAACTTTCTCTGACTTAATGCTCACGAAGATACCTCTGGGGATTACATAGGTGATTATTTTGGAAAAGATTAATTTACTCAGTCTTGGCTCAAAAACTTATCTCCGCCCTAGGTATCTGTCCCCCAAGATACCTTTTGTCTCCAAGTGTGAAAGTGTACAGGCAACTCACTGCAGATCTAACTCCAACCCAGAAAAGGAAATGACAGGTTCCGTCTTACTGATAAACACAAAGAAGCACAATTTTGTTTAGCTTTTGTATTTTTTTCTGAGAAAGCCAGGAGTCTCTGTTAATTATTGTCATGGTTACATTGTTATGTTGTGGGTTGTAAAGACTTGTTTTTTCAGTAATGGTAATGATGCATGCTTTGTTTACTGTCTTTAGGTTCAATAGATGAAGTCTTTAACTGCAATCTGTCACCCAGATCTTCTCTGACGGAGCCCCTCTTGGCAGAATTACCATTTCCAAGTGTTCTGGAATGTGAAGAGACGCCCAGCCAATTGATCTGATTGGACTGAATATCTTGCAGTTACTCCTGTGCTCCAGACCCGCACTGGAGCTGGAGGTTGAGGGGATGAGAAAGCAGGAGGTGAAGGTTGAGGGGACAGGTTGGTGGGAGGCTGGCACTTCCTCCAACTTGTCAACCCTCTGGTCCTCCTTGGCATCTACAGAGGGCCCTTTTCATCCATTTGCCTGGGTGGCACACTGGCAGCTGACTTTAGGATGCGAGGGTCTTGGCTCCTTGACTGGGGAGGTATCCTCTCCTTTTAACCCTTCTCTAGAGGGAGCAGCAGGGGTCTGCTACCCTGACCACTTTGCTTAATACTCCGGCAGCCTGGGACATTTCCTACATCAGTCTGTGGAACAATCTGACCCATGAGGCTTCATAAACCGGGTTTGATCCTCTGGTGGAACCTCTTTGTCTGAACCCAAACACAGTAAATCTGGGGTCAGTGATGCTGGTCTCTCACAAACCTGGCTGCACAAAAATTAGGACATCTTTCACTAGAAGGCAAGTATGTTTTTCATCCTGCTTACAATCTATCTGCCTTAGGAGGAACATTCATGAAAACGTTCATTAGAGGCTTGGCGAGACTGATAGGATGGCAACTGCCTCCCGTTGCCGGAAATTTAAACTACCTTGGCCTCCCTCACAACAAAGTGGTCTCTGTAGAACTTGGATAGGTGGTGTGGTACCAAACAGTGGCAGGGGAAGGATAATGTATACAGCAGTGTCCTCTTGATGGAGAGCACATTATACCAGTTGGGTATTTTAAATAAGCATTTAACAATCCTAACACTAAAAGCAAGATAGAAAAAAGTTGTAACATTACCATAACATATTGTTACAGCAATACATTTTCATCTCATAACCACAATTCTGAATTCTTAAGAAGAAAAATATCATCCTATCTACATGTAGAAACTTGCAAGAAATGAAATACTACCTATGCTTATTATGAAGTTTTATGGGTCCCAAGTTTAATTTTTCTATTTTTTTTAATATTCCTGTATTATACCTTTTGATAGCACTACTGGTTGTTCTTTCATTTGTATTTGAAATGTTATATACTATGTTTGTGCAATTAAAACTTTTCTGAGCATTCAACAAAAACTGGTGAATTTTGTGGCCAAATGTGTATGTGATCTTTCATTTGTAGCCTACAGGTCTTGTGACTTACTAAATTGCACGAGAATTCACAACCACTTTCTTAAGAAAAGCCTTTTGAACACCAGTTTTATTAAGTATTTGGAGGAAAAAAAGCACAATTTGATAATGACCTGTCAGAAAAGCAAAGGGAAATGTTCCTTAATAGCAGAAAAGGGTAAATATTTGCTATTCCACTCAGTGAAAAGTGAAGTATTAATGATATGTTTCAATCAGTACAAACAAACCTTAAGAATAAAAAATTAAAAGTTTCCCAAAGGAAATAGAAGTTCTATTCACAAAAACTGACAGAGATGTTTTAAAAAATAGCTGAATTCAGAAAAACCATCAAAATTTATTTCAGCAATGGATTAAAGATCTTATCATTAGAAATTTTTTTCCAATGGATCTAAATGTATTCACTTGTTTAATATTCACTAGGAAAAGCTTTGTTGTCTGCCTATGAAGAAATATGGTTTAAGTGAAACAGGGATAGACAAGTCTAAAAAGGCAACAAAGCAGTAGGCTGGATGGAAGGATGTAATGGCCTCTCACCTGCCCAGGCTCTGAGACAAGAGTGCCACCAAAAAGCCCTAAATGCCAAAAAGGCAAAAACCAAAACCAAAGGACAGTGCCCGATAAGAAGACAGGTCACTGTCTGTGGGTTCTCACAGCACACACAATTGTAAGAAACCTTAGGCTCCAGGAACAACAACCATGGGGTTCATTTTACCAACAGGGGACAGAGATTACTGTACCCACAAGTGGCTAGCTCTCTCACCCACGTATCAGTGATGGTCACCACTGGTTACCAGCAGTGCTGGATAGCACTGGCCAGTAGGAATGCCCATTACTGCTCCCACAGAGGTGTGTCAGAGACATCCAGTATTAACAGCGCTTTGTGAGTTGTTGGGCAATACCAACAACAAATGGCTCTTTGAGACACCAGGCCTAAGGCCTTTGGTGCCCCTTTCAGGTAATGTCAGAAACAGGATTGAGGCCAGTTCTTATAGAGTCCTTCAGTTTCTCTTTCCTCCTCGGAGGTCAGCTGCTGGATGCTTCTTTTCCTCTTTCTTCAGAGACCAGGAGTGGAGTCTTCCCTCTTTCTCTAGAGGCTGAAACCGCCTTATTTTCAGGCCTTGGTAGTTCTCTCCTTGTGGCTCTCTCCTTTGGGGGTTGGCAGCCTCTTCTTTAGGGGCTGGCATTGTCTCTTCTTAGCACCTACTGTCCCTGGCTTATATCCTCTTTCAGAGTGCCCACTCACAAGTTTGATTGGACCATATTTTAAACCTGTGGTTGACGGACCTTTTACCAATCAGCCCATAGCATCTGATTGGTCCATTCCACAATGCAGGAAGTGTGCTTTACATAAAAGGGTTCTGAGGAGCAGCTGCCACAGCTGACTTGTGGTAAGAGGCTGGGTCCTGGTAACAAAAGTCTGATTGGACTCCTTAGCACGATCAGCTTATAGCTGGCATCTGATTGGTCCATTCCACAATCCAGGTCATATAATGTTACCTAAAAGGTCTGTGGACTCC